ACTAAAAAAAAAAAAAAGTTGCCCAGGGATCTCTAAGAGACAGCTTTACAGGGTCACAAAATACTTTGATTTTTTTAAAAAAATCTGTTCTGTGATGTTATAACAGAGTCAGGTTGGAAAGTAAACACTGTATAGGGTTAATTAAAAAACCCATCTCCCTAGGATCCTTAGTTAGAAATTTGACAAGGTAAAGAAAAAGGTCAGAGTTTAGTCTTCACATCCATGGGCATGGGAGTGACCACACAAACTTGGCTGCTTGAAAAGTTGCATTTCAGTTCTCCGAATGAGAACTTGGGCACTTTCACCTTATGGGCTTCAGATCATAGGAGGGCAGCCCACCTTTCAGGATTTCCCCAGACAGCCAGAACAAAAGCCATGTTCTTTATCCCACTCTCAGGCAGACTTGGGAGATTCATCTGTATTGTGCGATGTTCTTAGGGATTGTCTACTCCACCTATCTCTGTTATGCATTCCAGAATACTTGGCGCTTAGCCGGAGTTCCATTATCTTTGGCACTTAGCTAATTTACATGGAGATGGGATTTATAAGGTACCTTTATTCAAGTGAGGTTAATATCCTTGCTTAATTGGGACCACTGATAGATCTGACTTCTGGGATTTGCAACAATAGGTAGGCACCTTGTCCGTACAAAAGGCCCTCTGATTGTTGCTTTCTTAGCAAAAATCCTAAGTGTTAAAGATCTTCAAACTCTATTTCTGAAACAGCGCTTGAAATGCCTAATGAAAAAGTGCTTCTTCATGATAAGTTTCATTTTTACCTATTCTTTTCCTTCTGGGATCAGCGTAAACTTGGACCTGGATTTATATTCCTCTTTTGGAGTCTTATCTCTATTTTTGTTCTTCAATAATTGTGTTCACTGTCCTTATAAACCTGAAGTCTCTGAAGTGTATCAATAGCTGCTACTTTTTCTTTTACTCTACCTCTCTCTCCTCCGCCTCTCCTGTCTCCTGATTTTCATCTTCACCATAATCATTATCATCATCTTACCCAGGCACTGGGTGACCCCTATATACTTCCCTTCTCGTGTGTGTTCTTTTTTGTGCAGCATTTTCTAGAAATTTATTCTCGGATCCATTTTGGTCTGTGGCCTACAGTTTCAGCCAAAATTGGGCAGAGTCGAGTAACTCACATTGTGTATATTGGAAATTCTTGCAGACTTTTATCGAGTTATAACTTGATTGTGTAATAGATTTATGTTGTTAATCTCCTGTTTGGATTCTGTAGGTTCTAACAATCTGGCTTCATACGCTATGAAGGACCACTGGCTAGAGTAGCAGTAGTAAGTATGTACTTCTATATGATGATGTTTATATTGCTGTGCTTATGGGTACTGAAGATTTGAGTCACTGATAAGCCTCTCTGAACTCAGTTGTAGAGTGACATCTTTAAGCCTTTATCATTTCACTCTGCAAAGAGCTGTCCTATAGATTTTGCAATACATGTTTATTAAAAAAGCCAGCATGCTAGACATCCCACAGAAGAGCAATAGATTGATTTGGGTATCCCTGTGTAGTGATAGTCAAGCCTTTGAGCATCTGAATGCCTCTCAAACCATAGACCCATCTTTTTGTTTTTTCTACTCCACTTAGAACATTTTAGATCATTCCATGGTTAGGGGAAAATGGCATCAATCTTTGGATATGCTCTCCATCTGCAAAATCTTTGAAATCATAATGGCTAAGTCCTTGGTCACTTGTCATTAGGCCCTGCTGATTAGAGCATGTCCTTCTTAGAATCATTGAATTTAATTGTGCGATAACTGGCTTTCTTTACCCATTCTAACTTTGCCGAGAATGTTATATTTCCTACTTTAATGTTTAGCTTATAACTCAACTACATTTGCAGCATCAGACCAGAGCTTGTTCTTTAAGAGCCTTCCTGACCGTCCTCAACCATGTATTTTTAGTTTTTCATCTCCAGCTAATATAAGTGGACAACAGTTTTTTCCCTTTGTCCTACACTCACTATAACTTTGATCAAAGTGAAAATTAGAATAAACCAAGTCTAGCACTTTTTTCCCAGGAGCTTAAAATGCTCCGGGAATTCCTCACTGAGTGCCCATGTGCCTAACTCTGTAGCTTTCAATGTGCATCTGAGCAAATATGTGATTTTGCACCACAAACTTTGAAGTGACTGGATTAACCCAGTTGTCAATGAGATGCACTAGATCCTGCATTGTGTTGCAGACTTCCTTCTGCTTTAGTTCCATTCTTTCATTGAGTATACTGAAGTTTGCTGTGGTTGACCTTTTGTCACTTCTGGAACGTATATTGAAACTTAATCCCCAATGTGACAGTACTGAGAAGTGGGTTCTTCAAGAGGTAATTGGGTCAAGAGGGTTCTGTCCTCATGAATGGATTAATCCAAACATGGATTAATGGATTCGTGAGTTATCCTGGGAGTGGGACTGGTAGACTTTGTAAAAAGAGGAAGAGAGACCTGAACTGAGCATGCCCTGCACCACCTCTGGACTCTGCAGAGAGTCCCCACCAGCAAGAAGAACCTCACCAGACCTGGTCCCTTGACCTTGGACTTCTCAGTCTCCATAACTGTAAGAAAGCAAATCATTTTCTTTATAAATTACCCAATTTCCGGTATTCTGCTACAAATAAGAGAAAACAGACTAAGACAAAGTTCTCCAATAAAACTCAAAGTTTAAGACATTACTATTGTAAAACCTAAAATGCATTCAGTGTTTAGTGTTTGTGTGGGGCAGTGTTGGACATAGATGTATAGATGTGTTCCCTCTGCCTTCCTGTGGGATATAACCTGCGATGCAGGGAAGTCAAAAGAAGACAAACATAAGTTTAAAAGGTACAAAGGGAGGTCCCATGAGTGGAAGCAAATGCCATAGAAGCTAAAATGAGGGTGAATGTGTACTTACAGCAGTGGCTTTTGCACTGGACCTCGAAGAATAGTCAAGGCTTCTAGAAGGAGAGCTCATTTTGTGGAAGGAGTCTCAGGAGAAGAGGTGGTCTGTGGATAAAGCACATCCTTGGGAAAGAAAAGAAGCATTTTTGTAATGTTTGAGCAACTTCTGGACTGTCTGCAGAGAAGAAAGAAGCAGGATCTCAATTTACCTATTGAAAAATTTCTGCTCTAGATACAGATGACACCTTTATAAAAAGATGGGCTGGCAATCCCAACATTCTGAGTTTGGATTTCAGCTCTCTCACTCATTCTTGGGTGATCTTGGATCCTTCTCATTCAACATGTAGGTCGAGTGAGTCACCTACAAAACAGAAAACACAACCACAGCCATGACTAGTTGGTGCAACAATCAGCAGATATTAAGCACTCCACAAATGTCAATTAGAACAATTAATGCTTAAGCCCTAGCCGGGCTTGGTGGCTCAGCCTGTAATCCCACGACTTTGGGAGGCTGAGGTGAGTGGATTGCTGAGCCCGTGGGTTCGAGACCCACCTGGGCAGGCGAGACCTCATCTCTACAATAAATCAAAAAATTAGCTGGGCGTGGTAGCGCATGCCTGTAATTCCGGCTACTTGGAAGGCTGAGGCGGAAGGATCGCCGGAGCCCAGTGGGTCGAGGCTGCGGTGGCCGGGAGCGGCCGCTGCACTCCAGTCTGGGCGACAGAGTGAGACTCCGACTCAAAAAAAATGCTTAAGCCCAGATGCTGAAATAAAGCAGAATTGCTTGTGGCTGGAATCTAACATTGTGATGAGAGCTTTTTGAACCCAGTATTGTGTAGATATCCAGTGTTGTGAGAACGCAGGGGTTTATTACTTCATCCTATCCAGTAAACATGCTCAGGAAGACTCAGCATTTTGCTTTCCAGCAAAGGTGAGCTGCCACCCTGGCACTCCATCCACCGGATCATCTTCAATGGCACCATGCCACGCAGATGCTCATGCTGGCACTTTTCTGCCTGAACTCCCCCAGTGACAAATGTGATAAGATTTGCGTTTTTAGATGGCAGCTGCATCCTCCTTCCATTCCCTTCGCTTCCTTTGGACTCAGCAGTTTTCCTTTTTGCTCCAGATAAATTGCTGTTAATTTAAATGTACTGCAGATCCATGCCATTTTATGGCTGATTGCTTCTGAGTAATAGGAGGAAAATGTGTGCACGTTTGAATGTAAATACATTTCAATGGGTTGTGAGCCAATGGTCAAAAAGCAGGGCTGTTCACTGACCTTCAACCCCTCCCCTTCCCAGTCCTTCCCTTTGAAGAGGTGGATAAGTAGATCCTAAATCAGCAAATAGCAGGGATTGAGTTTGAGGGCACATCCGTTTTTTTCTCTCTCTGCTTTCAGCTTGACATCCCATTTCTCAGACAGCACCTGCTTTATCCTTGTTCCTGTTTAGCTCAGCTAGTGTCTGCAACGGTAGCAAAGTTTCTCTGAAGTTGTTTCAGATAAGGGAGCTGGTCTCACGGTAACTACCATGCACCATCGGAATGCTGCAAATGCTTCAGAATGTCACATTGTCAAAATATCTATATTTCAGGCTCATAAGCTAGACAGCTCGTTTGGCTGCTAAACCCACAAGATGTTCAGCCATTTGTTGTGGTCTAAAAACTTTCCCCCTCACTGGGAGAAAATAATTTTCTATTGTTTTATATCGTTTTGTGGTCTTTTGAGTTTTTTATAACTTGAGATGGCAAGAGTTATGAGATCCTGGTAGGTAAATTGGAGACTTGATTTGATTTTACTATCAACCTCTCTTGAAATCAAATTAATGTATCAATATGTGGTGGAATATCTTTAGTCTGTCAACATTATGGGAAGATCAAGGGTATCAAAGAAGAGGCTGACTTGCCGTCCTTGAGGTGAGGGTTGGTAGAAGTCGACTGAAGACCCTGTCTATCGCTTACATTTGAAACAGGCTGGTTCTTCCTCACTTATATTTTTATGGTGGTTCTATCATTTTTATTGCTTGGGTGTGTGGAGCTGAGATCTGCTTCTTCAGGAAGGATGTATTACAAAAGGCAAACACAGGAAGGCTGTAGAGGATATCTTGACTTGACATCCATTGAAATAGGGGCAAACGCAGTCACAGCCTGAGTGAATGACCGTCCAGTAGAACTGGCATCTGGGAAAGTAAGCTGCAATTCACAGTTGTGATAATTAGCGACCCTGGAGGGGCTTGGGCAGGAAAATGGCAAAAAGCGGCCTGATTCCTGCCATAAATACTCTGGGACTAGTCAACTCTTGGAGTTCTTGTGCTATAAACCCATTGGGAAAAAAGCTTTACACCAGCAGTTTAATCTTCATGTTATTTTTTTAAAAAATCAAATGGATTTTGACTTCAAAGTGGAATATGCAGAACTAGATCTTTTGAATCTGGAGTGATGTCTTCTATTTGTATCGCCGAGTTTTTCCTGCTTTTGCTGACAAACCTGACATCTTTCTGTTAATCCTATTGCTTCAGTGGAAAAGAATTTGAACTCCACCCTCTCAAAACCTAAGAAGTTTGGTTTGTTAATTTGGCCTGCTCTTCCTGCATGCCATAGTGCATCCTTAAACTAGCTCATGTGTACCTGGAGGTGAAACTTTTAGTAAGAGACTAGAGATAGTGCTCTGCTCTATAGTGTTAATTTCCACTGATTTTTCTTTTGAGCATGACTTATGTAAATATACACATAGAATGAATCAACACTGCTGAGTGCTTCCTAAATTCTCAGGGCTTTGTGGGTGATTAAATCCATAAATGATGTTTGATGTCTGTACCGAGTTCTCTTTCTGAGACTTGGAAGGGCAGGAGAGAGAAATGCTATGGAAATTAAACTCCGTAGATTCTTTTAGCATTATTGTAAATGATGATACAGATTGGTGTTGGTAGTTAACAGCTCTGGAGGCAGATGACACCAGCACTTGGCAGACCAGACGCCAGGTGGAGGGAGATGGAGAGTCTGCAGGATTGGGTTTAGAGGCGCCTTCCAAAGCTGAACTTGAAAATGTCTTGGGCGTTTCTATTATGACATCAGCTATTTTGCCACTGATGAATCTAATAAGGATTCATGCAAATTAAACACAGAATTATGTGTACTAGAACCTTTTCTCTTCCACTGAGTTTTCCTAGGCAAGCTTGGAGACAGCATGTCCTCTGTGCAGTGTTTCCTTCTTGCACGTGGACATGACAGAGTGGCTTTGGAATCAGAGTCCTTGGGGAGGAACCAGAACTCTATCACAGACTAGCTGTTGGACCTTGGGCGAGCTGCTTCCTCTTGGGGTCTCAGTTCCTCCCTGAGGAAAACTCACTGAGGTAAAGAGGGTGCAATAATAAAACTTATCTTGTAGGGTTATTGTGAAATTTAAAAGGGCATAGTTTAGGCACAGTGTTTAGAGGAGAGCCTGGTATGAAGTAGTTTAGCTGTTATTTATTGAGCTAATTATTTACTCATCTTTCTTCATTTATGGGGCAATGAAATATTTAAGGTCAAGAAACTCTATTTTCGATATTTTTGTTTCATTGTTCACAGTGTCTACTATATGCAGAATTACTTAATATAAGGTACCATATATTATATGTGCTATATATTATTACATATGATATATAAACACTGTGGATTAAATTGTAGATATAATATATGCATATAAAATATGCATGTCACATACAATATATTATCTGTTATGTAGTAGATATTACATCTCTCTATATGTCATATACTGGTATATGCTATGGCATTTACTTAAATTTAGGCAACTAATTAATAATTAATATTAGAATTCCTGAAGAAGAATCCAAATATTTTTTTCAGTCAGGTGCCTGTAATCACAGCACTTTGAGAGACTGAGGCAGGAGTATTGCTTGAGCCTAGGAGTTCAAGACCAGCCTGGGCAACACAGTGAAAACTCATCTCTACAAAAAAATCAAAAAATTAGCCAGGTGTTGTGGGGCGCCCTTGTGGTCCCAGCTACTCAGAATGTCGAGGTGAAAGGATCACCTGAGTTCAGAAGGTTGAGGCTGCCATGATCTGTGATTGTCGTGATCATGCCAGAGCACTCCAGCCTGGGCAGCAGAGTGAGACTCTGACTCAAATAAATAAATATATACATACATACATACACAAATAAACACTTTTTTGGTCTAGTATTTTACCAGTTAAAGTTAGCCAATTATCTGGTCCAGTTGCTGAGTAATTAATCAATTATTTTATAAATAACTTGGTAAAATTAGCCAGGGAAAGAGAATCAGGATTTGGGTCGATATTTGTTGTCGAATCTAATTTTTTGCCCTGTAAAGATAAATATATTGACATTCTCCACAGATTTCTCCTTAAATGAAGCTACTGATGTCTGATACAGTTGTGTATAGCACTGGATGTACAAATCCTTTGCATTTCTTTTCCTTGTTTCATGTACCTTGTAAAATTGGTTTTAACGTTTAAAACGAAGTTGCTCCATAAGGAGATGCACGTTTTCTTCTGATTTCTGTTCTGTTATTATATATTACTTCTTTATGTTTTAAGGAGCATTCCATGTTGCGTCTTATTTTTGATGTTTATTTATTATGTTCATTTAAAAGTGATTGTACTTGTATGTTAATTTCCACTGATTTTTCTTTTGAGCATGACTTATGTTTTATTTTGTGTTTCTTTTAGGTTTTGTTTTGTTTCATAAGATCCCACTGGATGGGTAACTGAAATAAAGGAAAAGACAGAGAAAGGGGCTATGGTGCTTGTTGGTTGATGCTGCCCTGTAAGCTGGACTCTTGGGACTGCTGTTGGCTTATCCCGGGAAGTGGTACTTAGCTGGGGTTTTCTAGTAGATGTGGGCAGTGTTGAAGGATGTACTGTCAGAAGCCTGCACACACTGTGAGCTGTGGCTGGGGAACACCAATGCAGAGGCAGCTCTCAGGCAGCTAAGCGGCATCTCAAGAAAACGTCTTACATTAATGCTTCTTTTCTGTTCTTACAATAGTTCAAATACAAAACTGAAACCCCTTCCCAATGGATTGTGCTTCTCTTCTGAAAAGTGTGCTGTTTGACCCCACTGGAAATGTATTGACTTGCATTGCTTTGGTTTATTAAAGGTAAACTACAAAGTTTAAAAAAAAAAATCTGAAGTCGGGAACAGGTATAAGTACACACTAATCAGTCTAATTTAAACGTAACGTATATTTTAGTATTGTTTTCTGTTCTCTAACCAGTACTGAATTCAAAGGTTTGACTTTTCTATCCACAGCGTAATGACTCAAAGAGTGAAAGGCACATACACCATCACTTTGGGGACTTGGTGGTGTCACTAAAAGGTTCTTTCCTTCACTGGCAATAAAGGTTGAAACTTTTAGCTTAGGTCTGAGAGTCATACGCTGCTAATGATTGCCTTAGAGTTCATCAGCCAGCAACCTTTTTTTTTTTTTTTTAAAGAAGACCCAGAACAAGAAGTAGCAGCAGCTGTTTGGTCAGGGCTATAGATTGAGGTTAAGCCTAGTTAATTTCAGAATAAACTAAAAGAGTGGAATATATGCATATGGTGAAATGATCCCCTTGCCCCTTTTTTCTGCCCTCTGCGATCTGCCTGCTTTTTAGAAGTCTGTTGAGTGAGAAGGCCGCAGTATCTCATGCTGTGTGCATTAGAGAACTAGCTTTTCTACTCTGAAAAGGCCTGGGAGCAGAATGGCTGGCCCGCTGTGAGCAGGAGAGGAGATTCTAAGAAGGATAGTCCCCCTCCGCCATAGTGCCCTACTGCTGGGTTTTCATGGGTAGGAAAGCTTGTCCCGACCCCAGCAGCAAAGAGGTGGCAGCTTGCTAATGAATATGTGCTTTATAATGTCCTTCTTCATTGCTGAGAGGGCGGTCTTAGAGCTACAGATCCCTGTCTCCCCCCAAGTCTGACCCATGGACACCTGTTTCATTTACTTTATCATCACAGTGACCTGAGTGGGCTCTGCTCAGTCTGTGTCAGGCAGTATCCTTGTCCTGAAGGGAAGTCTGGCTGCCCTCACCCCACCCCACTTTACTCCTTTCTTGTTAGGGAAACTCCAGAGCCAGGCCCTGGAGCACTGAGTTTGAAAACAATCAGCTCTGACTATTAGACATGCACATATGTGCCATGGCTGGACTAGAAACTCATTGACGTTTAAAAAAAAATTTTTTTTTTTTTTTTTGGAAATAGCACAAATTTTGCAGTTTTGCTTTTAAGATTCATAGTTGTTTTAAACTAGTCCAACATGTTTGGAAACATTGTTGTGAATTCTGAGTAAACCAAGGCATTAATCTTAATCAACCAAATCCATTTAGGCACCACTTGATATGAAAAGAATTTCCATAATGAATATTTTATACTGTATCTTTTACATAGGCCACTAAATATGTTTATTGCTTGATGCAGACCTTTCACAGAGCCCTGTGGATTACAGCATTTAACTTGGCTACTCCATGCCCATGCCTTTAAGAGGGGCAGTTTCTCCAAAGCAGAAACATGCTGCTAGTTCTCAAAAGTTTCTCTCCGGCTCCACTGGAGTGTAAGGGCAGCTGGCCCTTGGCCTGTGGGGGTCCAAATATTCTCCGAATTCCCGTTTTCTTGTTCGCTGCTAAATGACAGTTCCTGTCACCGCTTAGATTTCGATCTTTCCCAAAGGTGTTGATTTACAAAGAGGCCAGCTAATAGCAGAAATCCTGACCCCTGAAAGGAAAATGAAATTCGAGCTGTGAGCCAGGCCAGAGCTCAGTATAGCAGAGGTTCTTAAGTATCAGCCATTTGGTACAAAAAAATTTTTGAAGCTTTTATGTTATTCCAACAGAGTTGTTAAAAAGGTGATCGATTGTTCAAGAACTATTTTGTAAGTTTCCTATACCTAAAATTAAAAAGAAGAAGAATATTCGTACTCAACAGCTAGGAGGATTGCAGGGTAGATTTTTGTTTTAAAAATGGAGAAAAATGGACAGATAAGGCAATTTAATCTATCAAAGATCAGTTGACATCTCCTAGGGAACAACGAAAACAGCAGGCTATTAGAAAATTGTTTCATATGGTTCTCATGTTCTTTGCCTTTCTTTCTTTTCTTTTTTTTTTTAATCCCTTAAGACCACAATCAGTAACATAGCTTCTCTTTTCTGTAGTCTGGACCACCCCATTTCATCCTTTGCTTTTTATATCCCCCATAAGAAATGTACTTTTTAGAGCTTCCTAATGGCTTGTGTTGTATTTTTGCAGCATTAGAAGGAGAGGCAGCATTTTGTTGAAATCAGGCCTGTCGCCCTCCAGCTAAAGGCTGCTCAATGCCAGGCTGGTCTCCTAAATTCATGAAGTGGCCTGGGTGAGCCAACAGTCGCCCCTCTGGAGGGGCAGCTGTCCCCTAGTCCAAGCCAATGGTGCCCTCACGGGAATGGGAGCCCGGGTTACCAAATCTCGTGATTCTTTAAGAGAAATGTGAAACCTGGATTTTTGTGCGAAGTGTCCCTATTGTTCAAAAGTTGGCTCAGTGATTTAAAAACATTTTGTAGGCCAACAAAATAGTCTGTGGTTTGTTACTTTTGTCTTAAAACACCATCATTGTTCTCTTACCATATCCTTCTGTCTTTCCTTTGCAAATTCACTTTTCTTTCTTCCCAACTTTGCCATTGAGGGCTTTACTGCAACAGCCTATGAAGCTGAGATTGGCAACCAGGTGACCTGCAGCATGTCAGTTACCTTCGTTGCTCTCCTGTGACTTTCACCCCGGGCTCTGCCCTTGGTAAGGAGTCTCCTGCGACAGCACTCTCCACCATTCCCCGATTGATCCCACTCCTAGTAAATCCTTTTTCCTGTTTTGTCTGACACAAATTTCTTTTCACCAGCTATGCCTCCTGGTCCACCCAGGTGCTACCAGGTTTAGATGGGAAAGAGCATGTCCCATTTACACAGGTGCCCTTATGACAGGTGTGGCCATCGGTGAGTAGAAGAACAGGTGTGTCATCTTCAAGAGATGCAGTTTACTCGAGACCCTCTTAGGTAGCCGAGAGAGACTAAGAAATGCCCATCATTATCACTTGAGACATTGGCTGTGTGACAACAAAAATATGAACATTCTGAGACTGAGGAAGGGTCATCTCGCAACAGGAAAAATGAGTCTCCACACACAAGAGAGAGAATCAATTCAGGAGTTTTCATTCCCAGTCTCCCAGCAGGAATTGATTTCATTTCTGATCCACTGAGTTTTCTTTCCAGAAATAGGCAGCAAGGATAAGAACAAAACAATCCCAGCTCCACCCCGCAACACAGAACTCAGGAGTTGGTTTTTGTCTTCTTACACTTCAATCCTCCTGAATTAGACCCAGGATGGCTATGGCTTGGAGCATCTCCTCAGACAGAGCAGAGGTGACACTTACTCAGCAGCTGTGGAGTAAATAACACAAGGCGGGAAATCAGTTGCATGCCAGGTGTGTGCTGGAGGGACGCTTGCCTTCTTTCTCCTCTTCTTCTGTCTTTATTCTCTTAGAATCCCTGGCTTTTCCCCCCTCTCTAACATTCTAAGTTGACTCCATGACAAAACGAGAGCTTATTTTTATTTGTTTTATTGATTGCTTTGCAGATTTACAACACACACAATGCCCCTCCCCCTCCCACCATTGCAAAAAATGGAATCAAACTACTAAACAAGACTCGAACTAACTCGTCCCTCACCCTACTGGAGGGTAGGTGATGTGCATCTCCCCCTGCTTTGGTGCTAGCTGTCTAGAACTCCTCCCTGATTTTGCCCTAAGTCCTTCATACTGCAATAGAAGTTCATTTCATCTTGTTTTGTCTAGACTCCAGATAATAGGACTATCTGGACTGAAGAGGAGTGATTCCGTGTCACATAGGGTCTCACAGGGATGCTGCGTCCAGCCATGTGGGCAGAGTCAGTCGTGTCTAGTCTATGTTCCTGGGGCCCCTGGGTTTGTGCAGCTCTGCAGGCTTGACTTCAATGATACTAGTACAGAGGCAACCATTCTATGAGGTGTGTTCTGCTCCGTTCACCTCTAGCACCTCAAACCATGTCAGGTCTCTTCAAAGGCACCTGGGAAGATTAAGGACAAATTAAATTCCTAGATAGACCAGGAATTTCATGTGGTATGGGGTGCTGCCAGATTGAATTAGGTTGACATAATTCCCAGCCCAAAAAGTTACATGAAGATGGCCGTCACAGGAGGCAGTTTCTCCCTGAGGTCAGCCCATTTCCTTGTTTTGGTCTGCAGGGACAACGGGTTCTTCTAGCCACCTGATTTTGGCAGTGAGATTACTCTAAGTGTAATTCAGGCTAATTCTGCAGTGTAGCCCTGGCATGGTCTTGAATGAGCACCTAGGATAAGGAGACCCAAACCTCACCCCACCTCCAACCACTGGCTATGATTGAAGTCAGTTTTTATGGGAGAAAAAAAATGTGTGAAAAGAAAAGAACATAGATTTTCACCCTCTTTATTTTAAGACAGTCTATTTTTAAATTGAGCATAAAAAATACAGAGTAGTAAAAAAAAAGTCTTAAGAAAGACAAACCCTGAAGTTTTACTCAGTTCGTGTTCAAATCCTCTTGCTGTAATCCAGAGGCAGTCTGTGAATCATTCTCATGCCGTTTTTTCCCTATAATGTTCCAGGTGTGAAAGCCATTTTTCATGTTTTCTGTAAATAATGAATACTCACTTTTAAAAATTTTATTTTAGTGCTGTTTTAACAATGTGGATAGACCATAAATGTACTTGCTGAATTCATTCATTTTTTTAACAAGCCAATAAAGTTTTATAATTCATCTCCATGTGTCTTGCATTCTCTGTAGCTCCCTCATTCCCCCCTCCCTTCCTCAAACATATACCATCACCCGCGTGCCATTGGTGGTGTTCAAAACCGAAGGTGTTAGAAGAAAGAGTGTGAGAATTGTCACTGAGGGTTTTGGGGAAATCTCAAATTCATTTTAGGTTCTGAAATAAATCACCTCCAAAAAAGAACTTTTAAAATTTCCATCCATGTGAATCGTACATTTCTCATTTGCTGATTTTTTACGTCAGAAATATTTTCATAGACTAAGTGATAATCTTTAAAAGTAAAATTTAAGGAATTTTTTTTTAAACCCTACTTTCTATGGGCGGGCCCACTGATATTTTAAAAATTTGGAATGACGCAGGTCCCAGGAAGAGGGCTCACTCAGTGCTCTGTCTCTCTATTCTGTGTGAACTTGTGGTCAAGTAAACATCATGATTTATACTGTCATAGAAGGGAGAGAGGAAGACAGTGGCTGTAGAAAGAAAATACCCTTGGGACCATAACTGTCAGTATGGTACCTACGCTTCGTGTTCCTTTTCTCTCCACCCTCAGGTCTGCCACACCAACTCTGCCTCATTTTTTCTTAGAGGATAGAACCTAACAACTCTGATTCATTTGAACCTGCCATCACCTTCTGATAACCCGAAAGGGATTGGAAAAATGAATCCAGTGTGACCTCATGTGTTAACAAGCCAAGTACGCTGCTCCTCTTATAAGAGTCCAGTGTGTAGTGCTAGTGACTTGGGCTTTTTCTGTAACCACTTCTGAATTCACGGAGCTGAGAACAGGCCTTTCTGACATCTGGAGAGTCTATGATCGTTTGGGGCGATGGGCACTTGTTGCAGACTTTCCAGGTTTGAATCCCAGCGAGGCTCACAAGAGATGTATCTTTGGGAAAGTTCTTTCACCACTCTTTTCCTCAATTTCCTCATTTGCAAGATGAGATGATAGTAATGGTACCTATCCCACTGGGCTCTTATGAGCGTTAAACGGGATGGCTCTGGTAAAATAAGTGTCTGAGTCACAAACTCACCTGCATTTCTTGATCATATACAGGCTGCGTGGGTTCAAATAATGGAGACCAAATGAAAGGAAACTTCACTCGCTGGGCCGTGCTAAGTGTGGCCCAAGCGATGAAGACCACTTTGGAACTTTCTCAGGAGTTGTTGCAATTCAGCTCCTGAATCCTTCTCTCAACGCAGGAGATTCCTGCACATTGATTCTGTCTCAGATTTAATTCTGATAAAATAAGAGGATCCAATTTGTTTGGCTTGTATTGTAATAGTTCAGTGAGTTTGAGGTATGCTTTGCAATTTGAGGATTGTTCAAGAAATAGCATTGAACGTCTTATACCAAATATGGGCAGCCTCCTTTGTTCTCAGTTTATTGATTCAGAATTTTTGATAATTTGAACAGGATTTACATTAACTTTAATTTTTGAATTATCTATTTTAAAATCTTTGGCTAAGAATATAAACGGCAAACAAGTTGGCCAAAAGATTGTCTGGAAGAAAAGATTGTTTCAAGTTCCCTCAAGCCTTAGAAACAAGTGTTTACAGGCAATGAGTTACAAATAACTAGATGATTCTTTTCTGCTTCCTGAGGTAGCTTCTGGAAATAGCTCCAGGAGGCCACACATGATTGGCCTAGTTGGAATTACTTCATATTTGAAGTAATACAATGCCATTTTCTTAAAACTACTTTGTAACTTGGGTTTTCTCCCTATCATTAAACCATTTTAAATAAGTGGCCTTGACATTTTTCCAACACTTACTTTAAGATACTTTTACTGCTGTTACCACCTTTTCTAACACATTTTAAAGTGAGATCTACCACAGGGTCTAAGAGACAGTAATAGTTAGCGGGTGTCTGTGCTTGGCTTCTCACTTAAGCGCCTCATGTTCCTCCTAACAACCCGAGGAGGCCAATGCTAATATTGCCTATATTTCAGAGATTAAGAAACTGAGTAACAGAGCCGATGAGGGCCTTGCCTCAGTTTACCTAGCCTACAAGTTACCACCAGGATGTGAGTTCTGGCAGGCTGGCTCTGGAGCCGGTGCTCTTAACCATGCCCCTGTGTGGTCTGGACTCTTGATCCAGGTTGGGACTAGGACTAGGTCAACCAAGTGCCTGAGGCACAATATGTAAAGAGATGATCACTCTCAGGTCCGTCCAAGTGCCCAGTGGTCACTCCTACTAGTGCTGGCAGTTAAACACAGATTATTGTGGCAAAGCAGAATTGTAAAGTTAACTGAAGTTCCTGGGGAGACACCCCTTGGTCCCAGTTAGCCCTCAGGCACTTGTTCCTTGAACAAATCCCTTGCAGATCTTGACTTGCAAATATGTGGCACAGGAGTGAAATTGGCATGAAGTTGCATCAACCATGTACTCATTGTTAATTAGCTAATGAAAACCCAGAGCCTGTTTGCTTTGTCCATTTAACTGAAGATAGATTTGTTGCTTTCGATTGTCCTCAGGTGAATTTTCTCATCACTCTTGAACTTTAGCACTTCCCGTTTTTTTGGAGTGGTTCCTAGTCTCTGATGAGTGATCTTGAAGGAAACCACCTTGGTGGGGGTGGAGGAGGCGTCGTGGGAAGGGGTGTTTGAGGATACATCCTGCCATCTCCATGAGCAGGAACCAGACATCAGAATAAGGTGGCAAAAAAGCACAAGGCTGCTCCTTGCATTTCAAACACACAGAAGCAGAGCAGTATCCGAGCAGCTTGGTCACATTGATGCTCCTGTCCTCGAATGCCCCGCCTGGCAGCCAGTGATTGAAAGAGACTGCCAAGGGCACATGCTAATTTTCCAGTCATTTGGTCAAGCCTCACCTCATACTCTACAAGACCCCAGAACCTGTTTACTGAATGAAAATCTCTGCCTGACCATAAATGAACGGGCTGTAAGTTCTCTCCCTCTCTTTTAACATTTTTATTCTGTTGCCAAGAAGGAAGGGAGAAACCTCTTTTGTATTTATTTACCACACTTCCATCTCTTTTTAATAATTCTCATTAAGTTGTAATCAGTCTTGCTGAATTAGTAAATAAAAATGTAGGCCATGGCTGTTGGCTTTAAGGATTATAATTCAACCTTAAGTAAATTTGTGCAATTTCACCTAAGGCCCCTTGAGCCAGGGTGAGAAGTACCAGGTCACCAGCACTGTTTTACCTTCTGTGGAGTGTTATAAGTTTTTACATGAACGGGGCACAGCCTCTGAAGGTGCTTCAGGCTTTTTAAAGATTGCTCTCCAAGCTGATTTTCCTCCTTTGCATTTACTTGGGACTCCAGGATTATGGGGCCATTGACCAAATAGCTCTCCATCGCCCTTCAGTCAACAGTGTTGAGTTGAAGGTCACGGGTAATTCTGGGTAGGCCATATGCTGGTTTCCCAGACGTCTGACTAGTGGGGTGCACTGGCAGGTGTGGATGGAGGAGGTGCTCAGGGTATGTCTGCTATGTCCACCCTCTGTATCTGGAGTCCTGCAGAATTACTCCTCTGTGGCTCCAAATCTCCAGGCTTTCGTAACTCTACTCCCCATCTGTTTCTTCATCCCTGGAGGTGGCAAGGGCTTCCCACTGTCGTCAGTCTGCCATTGCTATTTGTCCCTTTAATCTGCCTACACCTCTGTGTAGACCTAAGATACTTCTCTTCATTTAAACTAGGGGTCCCCAACCCCTGGGTCCTGGACACACCGATCCGTGAAGAACTGGACCACACGGCAGGAGGTGTGAAGTGGTCGAGCGAGCAAAGTTTCATCTGTATTTACAGCCACTTCCCATCGCTTGCATTACTGTCTGAACTCTGTCTTCTCTCAGATGAGTGGCAGCATTAGATTCTCCTAAGAGCGTGAACTCTATTGTGAACTGCACGTGTGAGGGATCTAGGTTGCACGCTCCTTTTGAGAATCTAATGCTTGATGATCTGAGGTGTCACTGTCTGCCATCACCCCCAGATGGGACCATCTAATTGCAGGAAAACAAGCTCAGGGCTCCCACTGATGCGGCATTATGGTGAGTTGTATAATTATTTCACTATATATTACAATGGAATCATAATAGAAATAAAGTGCACAATACATTTAATACACTTGCATCATCCTGAAACCATTCCACCCCCCTTCCCATGAAACCGGTTCCTGATGCCCCAAAATTTGGAGACCACTAATCTAAACCATCTGGAGTGAGTTCTTTTACCTTGACAAGACCCTAACTGAGACAGATAGACATATATTAAGTCCTTGAATACATTATCTCATTTTACTTTATATCAAATCTATTAAAAATCTGATAAATATTTATTGCCAATTACAGTTGACCCTTGAACAATGTGAGGGCTAAAGGTGCCCATCCCCCACATAGTCAAAAATCCAAGTATATTTTCGATTTCCCAAAACTTAACTATCAATAGCCAGCCTACTCTTGACCAGAAGCCTTACTGATAACATAAACAGTCAATTAGTGCATAAATAGACTAATATCTACATGTGGTTTATGCGTTCATGATATACTTAACCTTTTCTTATTTTTTCAATATTTCTAGACTATGAGGTTTGTCTGTGAGTTTTGCCAAATTGTTTGAAATTTCCAAAAAAACTTTCAAACTATTTATTGAAAAAAAAATTGCATATTGGTGTATTCAAGTAGTTCAAACCCGTGTTTTTTAAGAGTTAACCGTATATGTGAGATGGGGAACTTGGTAATAGGAGACACCTCAATAAACCAAGCAGACGCTATCCTTGGCCTCGTGAGCTATGGTCTAATGGTATCATCTATAATGTTGGTACCGTTGCAGCCCATAATTTACACATACTTTGCCAAATACAGCTTTTGTCTCCTTTTTCTATTTTGCTGTGAATTATGGAAGTAATCAACCTGAAAGTTTTCTTTTGATGTTAACCCTCTTAGCTGAGAGATGGAGAGAAAAGGAAGGAGAGAGAGTGTGTGTGTGTGTGAATTATTATGTTCTTTATTTTCTTGTTTAAGAAGTAC